AAGAAATGTGGTGATATTTGGCATTGCGGAACAAGAGCATAGCTACTCAGATCTGGAAAATATCATTATTGATTTCGTAGCTAAACATCTATCCATAATCATATCACACAACGAAATCCAGGAACTAAAGAGAATAGGAAAAAAGTCAGAAAATCCACGCCCTGTTATATTATCACTCACAACTCTAGGGAAAAAAATCGCAATCTTCCAGAAGAAAAAAATATTGAAGGATACCAACTATTATATAAAAGAAGACTATCCCCTACATGTTTTGGAAAAAAGAAGACAGCTGCAAGAACAACTAAAATCAGAAAGAGAGAAAGGAGTGAAGGCAATGATTAAATATGATAAATTGGTAATATTAAAAAAATCAGAAGACTCCCCTATCCCGGAAAACAACAAAAAAAGGTTCCTGTCTACTTCCCCTCAAGATAATCAAGTTTGTCAAACTCGGCCACCCTTGGGAACACAAGCTAACAAGAAAAATAAAACAACCCCTTTGAACACTCCACCTTCAACTACTATCAATAGCTCTGAAGGAATAGTAAAGCCGGGCATTCTGAATTATTTTGTAAACAAAACACCCACAGCTAACCAAGGAAATCCCAACAAAAATGAGACCGACTAGCAATCAAGCCCCCCTCTCAAAAACGCAAAAATAGGAAACAAAGAAAAAAATATAGCACATCTTCCAACCCGGTTGGTCACCGTGGAAGAGTATGACCATTACCCTCCAAGGAATATACCTAAGACTGTCCAACAAAATAATCATCACCTAAGAGATAAACTCTATGTGGCAACATACAATGTCAGATCCTTATATTCGTATGAGCGACTGATTGAACTGCAGGAATCCTTAGTAGGGATAAAGTACGACATCATTGGCATATCAGAGGTCAGACGCCTTGGCAGTAAAATAGAAGAATACAAGGACTTTATTCTATGTTATAAGGGAGAGACTCCAGGAAAATATGGCGTTGGCTTTCTGATAAAAATTTCGTTAAAAGAAAACATAGAAAGCTTTACTGCAGTCACAGAAAGAGTTGCATTACTAAATCTCAACATACAAGGCTATTGTATAAGCATAATACAAGTATATGCACCTACTGAGTCGGCAGACGAGGAAGATATCAATGAATTCTACTATTCAATAGACAAAGCCATACAATTCGCCCATAAAAATCTAATTGTGATGGGTGATTTTAATGCAAAGATTGGTCAACCCCTAAAAGACGAATATTTAATAACAAAAAGATACGGATATGGACAAAGAAATGAAAGAGGCCAGAGATTGTTAAACTTTGCTTTTGAAAAGAAACTTTCGATTATCAACACGTTCTTTAAGAAAAAACCAAGTCGTAGATGGACATGGCGATCCCCTAACGGTCAGTATAAAAATGAAATAGATTACATAACAACTAACCAACCAAAATTATTTCAAAATATAGAAACATTAAATTTAAATTTTCCATCAGACCACAGACTAGTCAGAAGCACAATTACCCTATCAAAACCTCATAAAAGTAGAGTGGCATATACAAGCAAGCAAATAAGTACTCTTAAAAGTGACGAAGACATAACAGAATACAAAAATTGTCTTGAAAATTATCTGTTAAACTGGAATGAAACAAATACTGTCCAAAGATATTATGATTCACTGATAAGTGCTATAATGCAAAGCCTGGAAACCAAAAATTCAACCAACCGATCCAATATTAAACATAAAATTTTATCAGAAAAAACACTATCACTTATAATGAGAAGAAAATTACTCCAGAAAACTACAAATAAAACCCACACCCAAAGAAACGAACTCAGCGCTCTATATAAGCTAACAAGTAAATATATCAAATTTGATTACAAAACCCACAGAGCTGCTACTTTAGAAAAACATCTCGAGCAGGACGGGAGTCTAAAAAAAGCCTCTAAGGAACTTCGAACAAATAGAGCCTGGATCGAGGGTTTGAACCAGCTGGGGAAAACATCATACAAACGCAAAGACATCGTCAATATTGCAACAAATTTTTATCAAGACTTGTACAGCGCCAAATCAGATGAACACCTTCTAAACAGCGAGAACACAGAGCACAATGCAGAGACATTGCAGACGGATTTTGAAGAAAAAATTCAACCCATTGACGAATCAGAAATTCTTCAAGCCATAAAAAGATTAAAAACGGATAAAAGCCCAGGCCCAGATAAAGTCACAAATGAGGCTATCAGATACGGAGCGGCTCTATTGGCCACGCCACTGACGCACCTATTTAATCTCATCCTAGAGACGGCGACTATACCAATACAATGGTCCGAATCAAACATTATCTTGCTCTATAAAAAAGGAGATCCCCATGACATTGGTAACTATAGACCCATTAGCCTATTACCGACTCTATATAAATTATTTTCTTCAATCATAAACAACAGAATAAGCGAAACAATAGATAAATATCAACCCGTAGAACAAGCAGGTTTTCGCAAAGGATTTTCCACGATAGATCACATTCATTCCTTAGAACTAATTATTGAAAAGTACATGGAAAAGCAAACACCACTCTACATCGTCTTTGTCGACTACCAAAAAGCATTTGATACAATATCTCACACAAGTATCTGGGAAGCCCTAAAAATTCAAAAAGTAGAGAACAAATACATAGAAGTCATAAGAAACATTTATAGTAACAGCACTAGTAAAGTAAAATTGGAAATAACTGGCCAGAGCTTTCCTATAAAGAGAGGAGTGAAACAGGGCGACCCGTTGTCACCAAAACTTTTTATAGCAGTGCTGGAAACTATCGTAAAGAATCTGGATTGGAAGAAATATGGTTTAAATATTAATGGTAGATACTTGAGCCATCTAAGATTTGCAGACGATATAGTGTTATTGTCAGAAACTAGCTGGGGCCTGCAGTACATGTTAGAGACACTCCATGAAAGCAGTAAAAGAGTGGGACTAGAGATGAACTTGTCAAAGACAAAAGCCATGACAAACAGCATTAAGAAGCGTATTATGTTGGAGAATGAGCGGCTGGAGTACGTAGATCAGTACATCTATCTTGGAAAACAAATAAGTTTTAAAAACAACAGCAATGGATTGGAGATAGAGCGCAGAATCAAACATGCTTGGAATAAATATTGGAGCCTAAAGGAAGTATTTAAAAGCAATATGTCAATAAAACTCAAAAAGAAAACCATGGACTCGTGCATTCTGCCCTCTCTAACATATGCCTGTCAGACGTGGAAATTTACAAATAAAATGAAAAACAAAATCAGTTCGTGCCAGAAAGGAATGGAACGTAGTATGCTAAACATTAAAAAAATGCACAAAATACGACACTCAGAAATAAGAAAAAACACCAAAGTGATAGACGCGCTGGCTTATGCCCAAACACAAAAATTCAGATGGGCCGGTCATATAGCCCGATACCTGGACAACAGGTGGACCATAAATGTAACCACATGGAAGGGCCCGCCAGGCAAACGCCGGGTAGGGAGACCCTACATGAGATGGGAGGATGATATAAGAAAGATCGCAGGAATAAACTGGCTACAGGTAGCAAAAAATAGAGAAAAATGGAAATCCTTGGAGGAGGCCTTTACCTGAGAGGGGTCCATGCAAATTAGAATTATAAGTATTATTTTATGAAATTTGGATATTATTTATTAAGTTTTATTTTTGTATATACACATTTTAGATTGTTGTAATGAATTAATGTTTATTGGTATTGATTGAATTAATTAATAAAGAATTAAAATGAGGTTTGGACTAATAATGTAATGAGGTTGTTATCTATTTGCTATTGCAATTAATCTGAATGTTATAATGAATGATTTAAGGTATCTGTAATATAAAAATGTAATGCAATGTTATCGATATGAATAGGATTGTTGCAAATCTAGACTGATATATTATGTGCATGGAATAAAAGGCTTTTTTATTTTTTATTTTTTATTTTATTTATTTATTATATATATATATATATATATATATATATATATATATATGTATAAGAAAAAGTATTAATATTAAATTACACTTAATATTATTTCTTTTCCTTTTGAGAAGACATTTTTGTCTGTTCGCAAATTTCGTTGTCGTTCACTGACGTCTCACACGCACGCTGCGCAACAACCGACTGAGCGCTCTAACACCCTAACAGCGATCACATTACCCGATAAATTGGCCCTAACTCTCATCGGGCGATCGGGCGCCCACGTTCACCCGATATCGGGACCCTAACTCTCTAACTGCGATTAGACTACCCAATTTACAGTGTACCCGATGGATCGGGCCCGATAGATTGGGTAGTGTAATAGGCGCCTAAGTTTAATATATGATCAAATTGTGCAGAACTCATTCTGTAGTAGTTCAAACTGCATAGTTGGTTTCTTAGAAGCAAATATTTTTCAGACGACATTTTGTTTTATTATTTACGCCCGCAATTAAAGTATGGGCTATGCCAATTTTTTGGTACTTTGTGAGCGGAGGAGCCATCCTTTCAACGCCACGTTTGCATTCCAACTGAGTTAGGGAGGCGATCTAGTGCAGCGTAATCACAACGACGCCAACCGCCCTAAATCGAGGCCGATATATCGGGCCCGATAGATTGGGTAGTATAATCGGCGCATAAGCACTATGACGTAATAATTCATATAATAATAATATAATTCTTATTGTGATTAATCCTAAATCTACTCATTCATTGTTGTGCTGTTATTTGGAACAAAGTTCGCCAGGTCCTCTAGTACTTAATGATAATCAAACTTTATTATTAAATTACGTCAATTCGTCGCACAAATCGTAGTCTTTGTAAATGTTTTTCTGACTATAAATTGGATTCATTGATTTTGTTTTATAAATATTTAGGTAAAAAATTATTTCATGCTGAAAACAATAAAAAGTATCGTTTTTAAAAAGTCAATAATATTGTCGAAATCGTTATAAAATCGATCCTTTTTTATTCGATTACAAGCCTAACAGGTGATAAGATAATAAACGTCAAGTCAATCAAACTGAAACTGGTTCGGCAGTAAACGGTGGGATATTCAAAATCTATTAAACAAAGTTTATTTAAATATTTTACTAACTCAATGTGAATGATTCTTATATTTTGTAATGATGAAGTTTGTTTTCTATTTCACCGTAATTAGCACGGTAATTTTTCCACTCGGCAAGTGTTATAGCGAAGAGAAAAATGTAAACAATAATATGATTATCAACGCCCCTTTTGAAAACTTTGAAAGAAAATTTAAACCTGATTGGAAAGACTTAGACACAAGACAGCTACCAAAATGGTATGACGATGCAAAAATCGGAATATTTCTTCACTGGGGTCTATACTGTGTACCAGGATATCATTCGGAATGGTTTTGGGCGTATTGGAAAGGTAAATAAATTTATTTTTACGCGTAGGCAATTACTAAGCCATGTTTAGACTTATCCTTTACGATCAATCCTCACTATTAACTGAGTTTGGTTCAAAGAATTTTCGATACAAAATATATAAAATACAGGCAAACTTCTTCAAATAATAAATAATATAATCTCTCTTTGTTAATAACAACTTTCACTTTTTACATGTTTTTTTTTTATCATTCATATCAAAGTCAAAAACTTATGTCATAGGTGGCGACAAAGAAATTGTTAAATTCATGGCTGATAATTATCCACCTGGTTTCACATATCAAGATTTTGCACCAATGTTTAAAGCAGAGTTCTTCAATGCCAGTGATTTTGCAGAACTTTTTCTCAAATCTGGTGCTAAGTATGTCTACTTTAAGTATACGTCATGTTTATCTTTATATACATGAATAACTTACTTTATACAACTTAAAATTTTCTAGATATGTAGTTCTAACTAGCAAACATCATGAGGGATATACATTATTCCCATCAAAACGTTCATTTAGTTGGAACTCTGTAGAGACTGGACCGCATCGTGACCTTGTTGGTGAACTCTCAGAAGCTGTGCGGCAGAAAGGGTTGAAGTTTGGAGTTTATCATTCTTTATATGAATGGTACAACCCTATATATTTAGAAGATAAGAAAGCTAATTTCACGACACGTCACTATGCTGAATCGAAGTTGTGGCCAGACTTGAAACAACTCGTGAATGATTATAAACCTTCTGTTATTTGGTCTGATGGTGACTGGGAAGCCAATGATACTTACTGGAAATCAACAGATCTATTAGCATGGCTTTACAATGACAGTCCTGTGAAAGATGAAATTGTGGTTAATGATAGGTGGGGCATTGGAACTAGTTGTAAACATGGTGATTTTTACAACTGTGCTGATAGATATAATCCAGGTAATCAGTGATTTTGTAATATATACAGGCCTCATCTTGGCCTATCTGCTTCAAACAAAAAATATTTTTGTTAATTATTATATTTGATCAATTTTGAATCCACAATGCTATACTGAATAATGCTTAAAAAATCCACTCTGACCCTGGCCCTCTGAGAGAGGATTCGAAGCCTTCGCAATCCGAGTGACCGCTCCAACCACTGAGCTACCCAGGACCTAACAGGGCTGGTATAAGGACTCTCATATAGATAGATAATTAGCTTTATGTCACAAATTTTATTAATTTATTTATTTTATTTTTACCCATCTCTAAAAACAGTCGGCTACCAAGATACATCTCCAATAACGTGGTCTAGTAGTCATTATTATGCTATCATATGTTAGCATATAGGCTTCTGAATGAGTATACAAAGATGGCTTTGAAAAAAAATTTTTTTTTGAGATATCTATCTATCAATAATTTTGACTTCTGGATAATTATTCAGCTTGTCTCCCCCTTGGTTATGCTTCATATGAGAAAAGAATGGGTTAAGCTGGGTATTCACTAGACAACATTTATTAATAAACTGTTTCTAAATCTACTTAACATAAACAGTCCACACTTGTCACTTATTGCTAGTATTTTGTTGCTAGTATTGGAGATAAACTATATAAAGTAGTTAAGTATAATACAGTAGCTTTAGAACAAAATCTACATGTTTATGATTGAATTTAATATGTTTCTGAAACTATATACATGCTCTTTGCGATAATTCTGTGATCTCCAAATGGAGTAGAGAGCACGGAAACATCTAATACCCGAAACATTGTTTCTGTAAAAATCTATGAGTTGTTTTAGAAATTTTGTTTCCGAAACATTGTTTACAATTATTACGTGGCTAAATGGGGAACACAGCAAAATGTTTACTAAACAATGTTTCATCAGCTTTGTTTATAGACTTTATACAGATATGATACATATGTTTATAAACAGTGCCGATTAACAAATTTTGCCCAATGAATACCCAGCTTTATTTGTAAATCACTAGTAACCCCATAGGACTACCTAGTCCCAGTAATCTAGCCAACATAAACAACTAATATTAACGAAACTTGATCTATGGCTTGAACCATAACTCAATACTTTTAGTAAAAATTATTAATTTACTTGCTGTTTTCACGCGACTTGGCATACCTCAAATATAGCCTATGTCAACCCCATATACCTATCCTATATACGACTAGCTTTTTCCGACTTCGTCCGCGTGGTAAAGTTACTTTGAGCAGGATTTCTAACGAATATTTATTTATTCGTTCTATTAGGTTCAACTTAATACATTTACATCCTCCATCATCCCTTATTTTATTTCCATGGGGGTTGAATTTATCAAAATCCTATTTATCGGATGTATTCATCATAGTAGCTCCAATCTTTAATTTCAGATCAATCAGTCGAAAAACTAAAAAGATTTATACAAACTTTCATCCCCTATTTTATCCCCTAAGGGGTGGAATTTATCAAAATCATTTCTTAGGGGGATGCCAACGTCATAGTAGCTTTATGCATGCAAAGTCTCAGCCCGATCAGTTTAAAATAAACGAAAGTTTCATAGAAACTTTCATCCCCTTTTTTATCCCCTTGGGGGTGGAAGTGATCAAAATCCTTTCTTAGCGGATGCTTACGCCATAACATCTACCTGCCAAATTTCAGCCCGATCCGTCCAGGGGTTTGGGCTGTGAGTTGATAGATCATTATGTCTGTCAGTCACCTTTGAATTATATATATTTATAGATGTAGCTACTCGTAGGTAAAATAATTTATAAAAACGGTCCAGTTTTGGAGCCTATACGGTGCAAACAATCAATCAAGTCTTTTCTCTTTATAATATTAGCTTTTTTTAATATATTGTAATATTGTGACATTTATATATTAATTTTTTATGACGCTACTACGTGAAGCGTGACGCGCTATGTGAAGTACCGACATATTATATAATAGAAGAATTTTAACCTACGAGCGCCAAATAATTAGATCAAGTGCTGGCTTTAACTACAAAAAAAATCGAATGAAAATATTTTATTTTACTTTTTAAGTAAAGGGCAATAATACATTTTATTTAATGATATTTCAGGAAAACTTCAAAATCACAAATGGGAGAATGCATTTACAATGGATTTAACTTCGTGGGGTTATAGGAGGAACATGGCAATACAAGATGTGATGTCTATAGACAAATTTCTTTTTCATGTCATCTCAACAGTTAGTTGTGGAGGTAATATTTTAGAATTAAGGTTTTTAGCACAAGAAATTGGTAGTTTTTCATTTGTAATAATGACAACTGGTTTTAAAAAAAGGTTAAAATTCTGCAATCAATTTTGAACTTAAAAATCAATAGATTAAGTTTCAAAATTGCAGTTTTTTGTAACTCGACATCGACTTGTGCGCGTTTGTGTGTGTTGAATCATTATTACATTTGGACCGTTCAATAAGACAGCTGATTTAAGAGCCAACTTAAACAACGTTCATTTAGTTTTTTTATCTGTTTAAAAAAATTACCTCTGCCATTAAAAAATTATTACTTCGAATCCTTAATTAAGTACCTACATTTAAACAAAACATTATTCCCTAAAGTGATCTATAACAAAACTAAATTTACATTTGCTAATAACCTGTGATATAGATATAGTATGTATTAAGGAAGCATTCTTCGTATCGTATTTAATAAGTTTTATATTTCAGGTAACGCACTTATAAATGTAGGTCCAACCAAAGAAGGCACAATTGCACCAATATTTGCGGAGAGATTATTAGAACTCGGCCAATGGCTGAAAGTGAACGGTGAAGGTATATACGAATCCTCGCCTTGGATGTCTCAAAATGATACCTTCAATCACTTTGTTTGGTACACATGTAGAAAGCAGCAATATAACGCGTATCGGCCAACAGCCAGGCCGAAGAAAAGTGATACTGTTACAGCTATATATGCATTTTTCTTGAAGTGGCCTTCCAACAATAATGATATGCTAGTTATTGCTGATATCACAAAGTACCTCCAAAAAGGCAATTGGCAAGTCAACGTGTTGGGCTACGATGAACCTTTGCGTGTAAGTATGTGAATTAGAGATTAGTTACAATAAAAACCTATTAATAAATCATTGAAATCTAATGATGACCGAAAATGATGACAGTGAATTAATGGTCCTACTGCTGGAAAACAGGTATTCCTTAGGGATAGGGTCGAATTGAACCGAATGGAGAGAACGGACCGTGCCTTACGATGCACGGAGGAGCTCTAGATAGTTTTGTGGTATCCCCAGGGCCGCCACATCTCCAAGTCGGGCTCGGGACCTTCTCTAACTCTACTTCTAACCAAACAATACTTATTCTACATTTTGTTCTACACTTGTTTTATTCTATGTTTTATTCTACACTTAATTTACACAAACAGCGAAAGGTAAACACACAGAGTCACAAGGCCCGGGCCCGGGGAAAAGTACCCACTTGCCCCCCCCCCCCCCCCCCAACTTGGAGGCCCTGTGTACGACCGGCCCTTGAAAAGATACATCAGTTGTGATTTTAAATTACCCCCCCAACTTGGAGGCCCTGTGTACGACCGGCCCTTGAAAAGATACATCAGTTGTGATTTTAAATTACCAGAGAAAATAGATTTTTACATAGTGGTATCCTTTGTAGTGGTTTATTTTGTTACAAACGGAACAGAAACTTGATAGTACTTTGTATGAGAATATATGAACGATCTCACACATGTACGGTCCAAATAGTCAAAATTCTAATGCCACTTGTCATTTACTTGCAAAGTGTAAAGAAAATTCGATTCGTCTGGCTTTTTCGGCTCTGTTTTATGCAGAACTTATCAAGAACAGTTCGATTTCCACATATACCTAGTGGGAACTAAATCATTTTTTTTATAGATAACTGATCCATTGATGCGGATAATGCATTTTGTGTTTTAATTTAATAAAGAATTTGAAGTTTATACAAAAACATCTTATCACTTTCAGTGGGAGACAACTAACACTGGGAAGACCAAGATTTATTTGCCAAGAATAGAAAAAGTTAAATCAAAGCACGCTTGGACATTGAAATTCAAACCGCGGCAATGAAACACGAATATTAATGAAGAAATTAATATTATCGTATAGAGATACTTAAAAAATAATTGTCACTGTGCCAAACTGGAGTCGAGCTAATCTTCTAATCAGAAGGCAGTAGTTCCTTCTTGGAAAACGAATACAAGAAAGAAACGCATTCCAATATATGATGAAACAGGGGTAGGACCTAATACTACCTCTGTGAAGATTATTTATTGTAATCTCGGACATGATTATAACAAAATTATCATGTTTATACTACAACTCGCGAGTTCATGCAATCGTCATTAGGGGGTAAACCACGACTCTAACCTACGGAACGCAACAAGATATCATTCCGGCACTTACTTTTCAATTCAACTTGGTATCTGAGAGAATTAATTTTTAAGTATAATTCTAAGATAAATAAATAAAGAATTGTGAAGTAAAATTAATAAAAATTGTAAAACAATTGTTATAATAAATATATGTATTAATACTAATAAATCTTGATTTCATAATCCCTTTTTATTTGAATTATTGATAAACTTTTAAATTTACCCTATGGTAATGTACCGGTCAATAGATCACTGAACTGCAATTTTAAATCAATTATTCAGTGCATAACTAATAATCATACGTTTTTCGGGTTCCGTAGTAAACAAGGAATCCTTATATATTCGCCATATCCGTCTTTACGTCCATCCGCGGCTTAGCTCGAAAACTATTGGGACTAGAAAGTTTTGTTAAACTTTAACTAACTTGCCTAATTACAGGCAAGATAGTTAAAGTCTACCGATTCGACGCGTTCCGATTATCGAAACAACACATCGAAAAACAGGAAAATGTTGAATGATGACAGACGCAATTGTATTAATATACATATTTTTAGATTGGACGAAACTTGTATACGAGGAAAATCATAAATTTTCTGTTAGTAGCAGAACCGATAAAACTAAAACTAACCTAAAAATAATATATTAAAAATATATATATTATGGAGTAGCTCGGTGGCGTAGTGGATAAGCGCCGCGGCCCGCGATCGTTGTCGTTAAGCAACTTTCGCAAGGGTCGGTCACGTGATGGGTGACCAAAAAATTATTATCTCGAGCTGCTCCGTGCTTCGGAAGGCACGTTAAGCCGTTGGTCCCGGCTGCATTTGCAATCGTTAATACCCTCCAATCCGCATTGGGCCAGCGTGGAGAATCATGGCCCATCCCCCTTAACCATCCATAAGGAAGGCCTGAGCCCCTGCAGTGGGGACGTAAAAGGGCTGATGATGATGATGATGATATATATTTTAGTTCAAGCCAGGACTTTACTGGCCATACTGGCCATTCTTTTAATCATAATGAACTATAAAGTAGATACAATAAAACTCCAAAAATCTCAATGGACTCTCATTTATTACTTTCGATGAAGTTAACCTATTTGATAAATACAATTACAATATTATGATAGCTATAACATTACAAATGGGTATAAGGGTGATATAAAGATAGACTTTGACGGTCTCATTTACACATCGGCGTTTGCATATTTGTTATTTTCAATTACAAAGTATCTGCTACTAAAATGTTTTCTATATTAAAAAAAAAGTTTAAATTACTTGCCCTGATAATTTAATATCTGGTAATCCGTTTTATGTTAATGTCGACTATTAGATACTACATATATATAAAAAAACTTGTATTTTCATTGATTTTATTTTAAATGTTATATTTAAATATTTGTTCACTTATACACAATGTTTAAACAGTTGAAAGTATTGAAATATTTTTACACAGATATTCTTATGCATATCAATATTAACAATTTTCGTAAAACACTAATCCAATTTAAAGGTCAATAATGGCACTAAAAATAAAGATCGCTTTCATTGCAGTAAAAATTTAATAAAGAAGTTTAATGTTTACCCATCAATAATGATGTAGTTGCATAGAATAAAGCAAAACAAACAGAAAAAAATCCCTTCCGTTAAATAACTACCGTAATATAATATTGCACCATTAAAATATGTAAATTAAATTATACAAAAATTTGCATATTTTTTTAGATAAAGTTATCCCGAAAAATAAAACGTAGAGTTTTAAACACCCAGTAGTGCAGTCAAATACACGTCAGGTTATACAAATCTGTCATACCTCCATTCGATTATAAACGGTTAATACATTGAGGATAGAGTTGATAATCAATCGCAGATTGTGATAACCTGACGTGCAGTCGTGTGTACACGTCCATTAAAATTATCATTAGTTAAAACTGATACTACCGATACAAATATCTAAATTATTAATTAGAGCTTAAAGTAGTTATTAAACTTTAATTGAAGATTGTGCAACTGAGTGTAAGAGATTTTCTTTATATTTATATCTATACATAGTATCAAAGTCGCTTCCCGCTGTCTGTCTCAGTTTTCGTCAATATACAGAGTGATTTAATAGTCAGATTTATATGTTATATAAATCTCGTATGGTTTATTAACTGGTAACCAGGTCTATTTATTACAACACAAAAATATACATAATTAATTCACTCCACTCTTAATTTTAAATACCAATCGTAGCAACGTATCTTTCCATAGCTATATTCTTCTGGTGAATATAAAAAAATAAAATAAATTTAATCCAATATTTATATTGCTTTATATTAATTTATTATTGCGAAGCACCATCATTTACGTACACAAAGCATTCTTTAAATATACATATAACAAAGCTAATATACAGGAGTTATGCATATATAATCAAAGCAATGATAGTGGCACCCCGAGGCACTCTTGTTATTATTATTTTTCATAATATACATATACATTAAATTTTCCTTATACGTAGCTAACTTGGGGGTTAATATGCAATAATTATTATCTAAAAGTTACTATGAAAGATCACCAAGTAATCAAAGAATTATATTACAGATTAAATTTTTAAACCTATATAAAACATAATTCAAGCCCATCTTAATATAATATAAATGCTTCGAACAGGATATATATTACAATGTTAGAAACATAGGTACTTTGTTTAAATACAGTATTATTCTTTATAATAGATAACCTACTTTAGAAACTAATATGGCTACAACGTTCAAAGTCTACTTTAAGTCGTAATTTTGTTATGGAATGTCGACATTTACTTTATAACTCACATTCAATAAACGCTTTTTGCGATTGACCTAAATATCTTAAATGGAAATAACGTCACGTAATTCGTAATACTTACTTACGATTTATCAATTTGAAAGTGACTCACTGCCCATGATACTTAATAAGGCATTGGCCATTACAACTGTTGCGTCTTTACAGTTGACAATTTAATAATAATAAAAAGGTAAATTACTACAAAAGTATACACAAAACGAAAAACGATTGTAATGAGGAATTATTAAAAAAAAAATTAGTTCCCGAAATGTAACTAGATGTCGCCACGGTACGTTCTTGATTTCTCCATGACAACCTTTCCGGTTTTCTTTCATGTTTTCAAAACTCAGTAAACAACTCATATTCTATTTGTAATTTTTCGTATTTGTATTGATATCTAAGTTGCGAACTTTTCAAATTTCAGTTTTTTAATATGTTAGTATTAAGGAACGGAAATGACTGTCTTTGGTCCATTCGTTTCCTGCAAAAATCAACTTTTGCTAGAGTCGCCATCTAGTGGAGATGCTTTTTAGTGCTTTCGTTTTTTTTTAAAAAAATACTTCCTCATTAAAAAAGATTACAGTTTTCTGTGGTTTCAGTCATCAAATAAACATTTTACACTTGTGCAAATATATTGACACAAGTTTACTAATTCATTGCCATAATTCGGTCAAATATGTATAAAATAATGAATAAACTAGACTTAACCTAAAAAGTACATCTTTATTATACTAGTAAGATTACAATTCACGATTACTTCCAAGCATTGGCTATCAGACATAAACTCTGTAAACTCGAAATTAGATTATAAAATATATTTTCTAATGCACTAGGTACTAAATCAATATATCTATATATATTATATATAAGAGAATCTTGACTACATATTGTTATGCTCTTAGGTATCTATATTTGGGACAGAATGTTTTACAGGTAGAATCTGATCGAAGGAATGGATAATGATAGAAATACGTAACGCATATCGACTTCATTATTTATTACGCTTAATAATGCTGTGGGGATTACACGAATTTTATGGCGAATAAATTTTGATAATACTATTGTTTTTTAAAAGAGCATTGAGTAAAGCAACTTTTACAAATGCAAGATTTTTTTTTTTTACAAATGCAAATCCCATACCTAATGGTATCCTTTAAATTAGGAATATACTCGGCTACGGAGGTCGTTATCATTATCACACGATTGGTGCGATTTTTTTTTTATAAAAGCAGTTTTTTAATAGCATATTTTGTAGCCGAGTGGTTCGCGCGCCGGTTTCAAGATGGCGCCATCTCTGAGGTCCCGGGATTGGTTTCCGGATGAGTAAATGTAGAAAATTAACTTTTCTATATTGTCTCGGGTCTGGGTGTTGCAGTACCTTCGTTGTCTCAGAAACGGTGGTTTTAGCTACTCATCTTGGAATCTGAGCAATGCATGTGATATTGTCTAATATTTATTTTATTTATATTATAATGTAAGAATAATGTCGATGGCGAATAAAGTAATTTTTCAAGTCAACTGTCAAGTATGTAAAAAAACTCTTATTTATCATAATTGATCGTATATTTCCATCATCATCCACAAGTTATAAGATCAGTCAACCCAGTGAACAGTTATTTGTGCTTTGCGTATCTACATAACCGGAATGAATCGGACGCCATTGTAAACCTTCCACGCTATCATCACCATAAAGCTTAACCCTCCAAATTCCAACTAAATCCTTCAGCTAAGATATAGATTGCAGCCTGTCTCTATGCCTTAACGCTTCCAGCTGTGGTAGCAATGCGACCTTTTAACAAATAACGTAATATACAGTATTTTCGAAAATATAAATCGAAGATAATTCGTACACTCTGAACTTTCTTTAACTATAGAACATAGATAGATAGATAGATAGATAACACTTTATTGCAAACACCAAATACAAAACATACAAAGAAAAAAAAAAAAGAACAATATTAAGCTATGTGTCACAATCGGCGGTCTTATCACTAAACAGCGATCTCTTCCAGACAACCTTTGGATGGAGAGATGAACTATCTTAAAAGTACGGAGGTGTATGATAATCTTATGATTACAATAGATATTAAGTAATCATACATTAAACAAACATAATATAAGCGTATACATACTATACAAATATATATAGATACTATCCAAATAAATATAGCAAACAAAACTATAGTCTGTCAATAAAAAGAAAAATAAATAAATAAATAAATAAAATTTACATTTACTTTACATTTACTAAAGAACATTTATATTTACTGTTTTTTTAATCGCCTAAACCATTGAACAGATTTTAATGAATATCTTTACAGAAATAGATATGATCTTGGAAAAGAGTAAATGACATTCATTTTTAGGAGGAAAACTTTGTATGGAAGAAAGCTACACCACGCTAACGAAGTCGAGGACAAAAGAGATAATAACTAATAAGTATCTTTTTAATAGTAGCTCGATGGCGTAGTGGATAAACGCCGCGGCCCGCGATCGTAGTCGTTAAGCAACTTTCGCAAGGGTCGGTCACGTGATGGGTGACCAAAAAATTATTATCTCGAGCTACTCCGTGCTTCGGAAGGCACGTTAAGCCGTTGGTCCCGGCTGCATTTGCAGTCGTCAATACCCTCCAATCCGCATTGGGCCAGCGTGGAGGGTCATGGCCCATCCTCCTTAACCATCCATAAGGAAGGCCTGAGCCCCTGCAGTGGGGACGTAAAAGGGCTGGTGATGATGATGTGATGTGATCTTTTTAATACTCATAAATAATATTATTTGTCGAAAATATAACTTACCCGTGACTTCGCCCATGTAAATTATAGTCTATGTCGCGTGGGGTGTAGCTTGAGTAAATGAAAGAATTTTCATAATCGGTGGGCTAATTCTCTAAAAATCTATCGCAAAAAGGTGACAGCGGTTTATAGAATTATGTAACGTTTAAAGTCTCAATTGCTTTTGGAACGATTTGGAAAGACACATGATAAAAACTTAGCTAGAGCCGTCGAAAGATTGCAGTTAGCACAAAACTCTTTTGTTCGACATTTCTCATTAGCTTTCAAATATATTTACGTCTAACAGTAGCCTTAGTCATTTACGGCAAATTAACGATATTGTTTATTCAATATCTTTAAAAAAAAGTCACGATCTCATTCGCTATTACATATAAAATAGTAAGGTGAAGTTCGTTGATATCTTTCGAATATCAAATTAAAAGAGATTGCAGTAGAATTTAAAATTAAACAATCAGTCCCTTAATCAATATTTCCGAAGATTACCCCCTATAAAGAAACAAAGATAAATACATACCTTCTCATTGAAGAACTCCTCTATTGGCCCTTGAGCCAACATGGTAGCCAAAAACTGCTCAAGGGTTATAGACCATAAGTACTCCGCGGAAGGTTCTATGTCTTTAGTTGGGGACGGTTGGGGTTTATCTTGATCTTCGGTTGGATTGCCATTAGGGTCCATCTGATACAAATATTACCAATATCGTATTGAAAATTGTTATTTACAAACATTCTTGGGTTTCTGGACTTAAATTAAAAATAAAATAAATGTCTATAAACTCGTCGCTCTTTATACCTACTGTACAATGAGGTTGATGACAATTTTATGTCAATATGCCTACAGTTTGTCAACTACTATTAAAATAAACATTAAACGTGTTAAAATTAACAATTTCAATAGTTAAATATGATATTTAAAACAAAATCTAAAACGTAGTTGAAATATTCGAAATATGAATAAACAAATAAGCGTAGGCATTGCAGTTGGATCATTATAAAAAGCCACATTTGACATCTTCAATTTGAAATTGATAGTGAAGTGTTTTTTTACATAAATAACTATCAAATCAACTTTCATTTAGACCAATCTTTCCGATTATGTGGATACGTCCCTATTGTTTTAAAAGGCAACGGGACCACAGACGTAACACTGTAGCGGCGTTTAGTTTGTTTAGTATGAAATAGATTTATTACATTTAGAAAATTTATTGATCAAAGTAAAACGTAAAATTGCTTTAGATATATATTATGACAATAAATATATTTTATTAACAAAGAAATTTGCAACTTTACCGTTGCCGTTACATTGAAAAAATGTATAATAATATATTTACTACATTACAAGGTTACTTTGAAGTTGAGACCGAGAGATGTCAAATGTGTCCCATTATAATAACTCAACTGTAGACAAACATGTTTCAATTACACCCGTTTCTGTATTTAAACATCACAAACTGTACTTAAACGTCACATATACACGTTTAAGTACAGATTTCGCTTCTAATTTATTTTTTAATTATCAGTTTGATAAAATTAGGTCTTTTGGCCTTGTGAAAGGTAAACACTCAAATTATTGAGAATAATCAATTGAGAAATTGTACTTTATTCAATTCAGAAAACGGCCGTTAATTTTCGGCTATTTGGCAATGTCTATTTTCCACTTTTTTTCAAATAATTGTATTGACTTACTACAGGAAAATGTGGTTGTTTAGCCGCCGCCGCCATATAGAGGCTGTCTTGTGAAATTTCTCGATCCAAAAGGGGACGTTGATTCAGTTCGCCCAGTTGCAATAAGAGTGTACCTTTTGAATATAATAAAACAACAGATAACTTTTAAGTTAATTCAAATACAACGCATAGCTACCAGTTAATTTAACATAAGAAATAATAACATTTTATCAATTTTCCAACAAGAAATTATATCATGAACATTTTATAAATCTCTTGAACAGATTTAACAGATTTAACAAAGATAACGATAGAATTAACCAAGCCATATCACCTGCTAACACGACCGCTTCGTACAACACCGGCTCGTGTTGTGTGAGATCGTGCAGCGCCGCCAACAGTTGCAGGAAGTGTGCCCGGGGGAGGGGGGGCGCGGCGGGTGGGGGGGAAGCTGACGCCGGCGTGGAGGGGAGCGACGACGGCAGACCTGACAGCGCGCACGCGCGTACCGCCTCCGCGCGCTGACTATCCCCACCAATTCCACCCGAACCTGAGGCATATCGTCAACATAATTATAGTCTGACCGTTTAACGCCGTTTACACTTACGAAATCATGTCAGTTGTATTGCAATGTTTCGCATGTGCTTTGTCTCGCTCTATTATTAGCTCAATGAAATAGCTATATAATTCTCAGTACGGTTTCAGTCAAATCCGAAAAAGGTCGTGCAAGTTTCGCACATGATGCATATTCAGGGTTGCCACCCGACCCGGTTTCTGATGACTATCCGGAAGTCACGAATTATGTTTCTGTAAAGGTGACAACCCTATTCGCATTCGCATAGAAACAAAATAAACAAGAAAATTAATTGTTAAATCACGCGGAACAAAAAATATAAATAAAATATTTTTAAAGGGGTGCTTTTGTGATTTTATTGTATTTGTAAGTCCTAGACTCTATCAGAAATTTTCTCTATCAGAAAAACCATATTTGATAGTTGTTTAAAGACGATTCCCCTTTAATAACAAGTCATAATGTACAAAAAGAGTTTGTGTAGTGTTTTATAATTATCAAGGTATATTTATCAAAACTATTATCGTGATAATTATCACTCCGAGCCCTGGTTCGAACACATTTCGATCGCTTCGCGGTTGGCGATCACACGTGATAATCGTTACGAACGCTTTGTAAGAGTTATACATGAGATTATAGTGTCAACATGAATCGAAATATCTTCGGACATAAAGTTAATAGTCTTAGAAAGGATGACTTATAAAATTAATTAAAAAGTCAGAAACTGAAGATTGAAGAGTTATTTGTAAAGAAACGCACATGAAGCGTTACGCTTGCCTCCATACCACCCAGACCTGAACCTGGATGGTCTAGGATGATATTAAGGGACAATAGGGACGATGACTTGTTTTTTTTATCTGTCCGTCATGTAGATTATTGAAGAGTATTATACACGTATTTTGTTTTTATTTTTCGTAATCAATAAATAACGGCGATACATTTTCTACATAGTTGTGACGCCATTTCTGGTTTAATTGAAACAAATAACATTTTTCTACTATCTGACTGACGGATTAAATATAATTTATTTTTTCTTGTGCAGTTAGATAATACAAAAGCTGTATTATGTTTGAATTTTAATATTATTTATAATATTTGTATTTTGAAATAACTCATAATTATGTAATTGGCATTCATCCCACATAATTATTGTATAATAAATAAATATCTTCGGAACTGTCTGGTGCATATTTCGTCTCTTGCATATCACATTACACGTGCCCGCTTCCCACTCCTCTTTCAGCGCCCTTTGTCATCATACTCCCGCACCCTTGTACCGCGAGGGCGTGGACTCAAACTGTCGGACTATAGTTCTAGTAATAGAGATAATTACAGGGTAAAAAAATGTATTAGGTGTAATATTATAAGGTATATGCCAGGACTTCAACAATCGCCAACAGTATGAAACAGCCGATTATTATTTCGTGAATTCAGTGTTGCCCCCATAATAAAAGTTGTTCAGTATATGTAACCCATCCATCCCATAATAGTATTATACACCTTATATTTAGTCCGTCAGTCAGATAATAGAAAAATATTAGATACGTGTTTCTTTTTACTTCAATTTAACAAGAAATGGCTTAGATATAGACAAGATATGGGGAAAGAAAATGTATAAAAGCGTGACGTCATGTGACATTTTAACTCAGTGTATCGCCGCAATTTAATGATTATGCAAAAAAAAAAAAAAAACGTGTTTTAAATTATCCAACAATCAACCTGACGGACAGACAAAAAAAAAATAAGCCGTCGTCCCTATTAATTATTTACGCGTAAATGCGGAACAATATGATTGGCTAAATTTTTTAAATGTTTTTCAAATATGAAACATCCGCAAAACGGTGTAAAATTATTCTAATCTATACATTTTGAGATCATACCTGACTGGCTCAGGGTGCTGTCAGTAGACTTGTCCATATGGTTTCCTGCACTGCACACTTCGCTGATAGACCTTTGCAATGACGAACTACCCGGTTCAGGACTCGGAGGATTCTCTATGCTATAAAATAAGTAAATAGGTACTTAATTAAGTTGGAATAAACACTTGCTAGTAGCTCGGTGGCGTAGCGGATAAGCGCCGTGGTCCGCGATCGTTGTTGTTAAGCTACTTTCGCAAGGGTCGGTCACGGGATGGGTGACCAAAAATTTTTAATCTAGAGCTACTCCGTGCTTCGGAAGGCACGTTTAACTGTTGGTCCCGGATGCATTGGCGGTAGTTAATACGCTCCAATCAGCACTGCCAGCGTGGAGGGTTATCCTCCTTGACCATCCGCAAGGAAGGCCTGAGCTCCTACAGTATGGATGTAAAAGGACTAGTACTGATGAAACACTTGCTAATTTTATTCAAGTATTAGTAATAGGGCCAGCGGGCTATCTAAATATATGAGACTAGCTTGCTGTGGCTTAGACGATAACTTAACAGTTCATTTATCTCTGAGGAACTGTCTAATGGAATAGAAAGTAGACTTATAGCCAGTTGCACAAACGTCCATTACAATTTTCATGAGTTTAAAGCGACAAGCGCTTGAAGGCGGCAATAAACCTTAATGGACGTTTGTGCAACTGACTGTTAGAATTGTGCTTATACCAAATTTCATCCGTTCCATGAATTAGTTATTGCGTGAAATAGTTACAAACATCGATCCTCACAAACTTTCCATTTAAAATATTAGAAGAATTTTTTGTAATCTCGCTTCTTAAACAATTTATAGAAATTAAAATCTTTATTTCTGTTCATCAAGTAATAAATAAAATAATTACTAAATAATATTATCATGAATAACGTGGTGCTCATTTAATAAATCTTTAATACTCAAAAACGAATTTAAAGCATTTGATATTAATGTTCCCGCAATCATAATTGATTTAAATATCTCAATATGCCCCTGTACATTTTTATTCTCTTTTTTTTTGATAGGATGAGTACTTATTAAAAAAAAAACATTTGACACTTACACAGAAAGGCCTCAATAAGAAGCACACAACTTTTTATATAATATTATAAATATTTAATCAAAAATTCTTATAAAAAAATAACTAGCCCCGGTTACCCCGAGATGGTACTCGAACCCACAACCTTTCGTCACCCAAGCGACTACTTTAACCATTGAACTACCCAAGGCCTAACAGGACTGACGAATTTCTCACTAAATATATCTTTAATAACTTTGGTGAATTTTTTAAGGAGGACGGAGATTTTCATTAAAGATATTGCCAGGTGTGTTTGTGACCTATAAAAAAAGGAATTATTGAAACGCCATTATTACTTGAAAATTAGCAGCATCGAGAACGGTCATGGTATCCATTAAGTGTTACAAAGCTGTGAATCACCAACACCTATAAAGCATCCGCCAGCAATTACCATGAATCCCATTGTATATCAATTATTCTGTGTGTGCTTTTGGATTTACATTGAAAAAATTTAATAAAAAAAAATACATATTCGCAATAATTGTGAAACCATTTGCCACAAAAAGTGTAAACCAAAAGAAACGAGATCTTACTAAGAATATTTGGTGTCCTCGTCAGGCTTTCCAACCTTCGAACCAGAAGTTGACCTGGTGATGGTTTAATCAATAAACGATTATCCTAATGTAAGATTTGAAGCGACTTTTTTATATGCTAAGAAAAGCTTTGCACGAGTTACATATTTAAAAATTGTCATACTTCAGTTAATTTACATAGGATCTCGAATAATTTTATATGCAAAAGCTTTAAAAAACACATAAAAAGAGATTCAATAGAAAAAAATATTTCTTTTTATTTTCAGTGTTAATATCTCATATATATCTTTTTTATAATTAAAAAAAGTTTTAAAAGAAACTGTGCAAACTGATAATTCCCTCGATTCTTAGAACTAAAAGTCGAGATTGTTTGTCTGTGTGTCACGTGACTTGAAACAATACCCGCCATAGTGTGACGTCGCTTCAGCAACATCTGTCAGATTAGTCGAACATATGCCTATTTATTATAAATCAATTACCTAGATGGCGCTGTTCTTACCTTACTTATACCTATATTTTTATTTTGTAATCAATCGCTTAATGGCACTGTTTTTGTTGTATCGACATCTTTTAATCTACTATTCTATACATTTGTTTTGCCTACATATCAAATGACATCATGAATATGACGGGCAGTGTTTTCGTGGATACATAAAAAGTTTAAATTAATTCTAATTCTAATTTAAGTGTTTATTTTATCGTAATATTTGTTTTACAGCTTTTTTTAACTAAAATAAATTCTTGCAATTACTATTTCCAACAGAGTAGAATACCCTAATTACCTGTCGAAGAAAGAGATAGCATCAGTGGCCAATTCCTCCCCGGTATCGGTGAAGTGAGTCGGCCTCAACTCTAGATGCGAGAGTAGGGGCGGCGCGTGCGCACAATACAGCGCGCGCAATCTCCTCTGAGCATCGGCGCGACAACTCAGGCCGAGAGCGAGACTGAGACCGCGGGCGCTTACGAAACCGTCGTCGTCGTTATCCATTAACTATAAACATGTATATCTTTGAGAATTAAATAAATGTTAGGCACCACCACTACATTGCTCACACGTTTTCACTAATCCAGAACAAGGATTTGTCGTTTCACCAATCCTGTTAGGTAATGCCTTACTAAGCACTTGCTTAGATAGGCAACTTTTGTCTTTTGCATGCTTTTAGTAATGTATGGCCTATATGAGTTTACACAATCCCGCCACTGTCACGCTATTGATATTAACACGTAAAGAGACAATAACTAAATATATATTTTGAGGTAATAAAATAAAAAAAATTATAAGTTGTCTTGTATTACACGAGCACCCTACTCGTCATTGTCCACAAAAAGTACGAAAAATAAAAAAAAAACCCTTGTTTATACCTTAATTCTAATATATAAACTATTTGATTTCAACTTAATAAATTGATTTTATCCCTTGACAAACCTTTTACGGCCAAAGAGTATTGTATCTGTCACATTACGCAAATGCCCAGCGCTAAGCGCCACACAATGCATGTCCTAATTTAGGCGTTGCTTAAAGTCGTTAGGTGGCTCATTGTTATCGGTGAAACGCATTTTCACCTTATACAATGCCCAAATACTCAGGTGTCAGAGTTGGGCGACTCCTAAGTTTAGCGAAAACGGACGTCAATCACAGATTATTTATAAGTGACTACATAACAGACACATCACTTCACATTAAAACGACAAATACCTATACTTTACTTTTAGGAAAACGGAGCGTCTAAAGTGTACAATTGTGTAACCTGAAGGTTTGGCCTAATTCAATAAAATAAAAAAAATTGTTTACAAATGACTTAATTTTACGAAGTGGTGTTAAACATTTGTTTTTACCTTCCCTTGCATTTGTAAATTTCGTAATGGCAAATATTCTAAATGTAATAAAAAGTTTGATCAAATAATCGTATGGGAAACAAAAATCACGAATTCGAATACAGGTTTGGATTTATACGGAATCGTTCTGCAGATTGCAAATTAAGTAGCTATTATCACTTGTATTATTCAAATATGAAACAACGAAGAGACCACAACACCGACCAACCCTAGACAATGTAGAAAAAAATATTTTCTACCCCAGAGATGGCAACACCTCGAAATGTCCGTACTGTTTGTGTTTTGGTCATTCATGATGGTAACAGCAATAAAAACTTAGGACTAATGGCTATTATGAAAATGGAGGATTTAATTTGCATTATTATTAACGTTTTTAATAGTGATATACTCTTTTTGTAAATTTTAATTGAAAGTATGTACCTTAAACATTCTAGCGGTGATTGCTTCAGCATAATCGCCTTTAGCCCACGGCGATAAAGCTGAAAACAGTGTTTTGAACTGCGTATAGTCTAATCTGTAAGCTTCATATGGTGCTTCTAAGCGTTCGCATGGCACACGTTTTGCCCATAAAAGCTCTTCTCGTATGGCACTCAGTAATTCCTGCAATAAACATCAAGTTGATATACCTAACTATATCTATATAATATATCAAAGAGGAAAGATTAGATTGTTTGGTTGTTTGCATCAAATAGGCTCCGAAATTACTGGACCGAATGAATGTACGGAAAAAAGAGGCTTCTGTCCGTTTGTGAAAAATAATGGCAAGTAATAAGATTTCTGGGAGTAATATATTAAATATCAAGAATGCTTTGAAGTATTGAAATAAAACCTATAATCATTTAACATTACTTTTGATTCAAATTTTCATTAAATGCCATTAAAAATGAACCTTAAAATGCAATAATTAAGTTAGTTTTTTAACTTTGTTCATACCTGTAACTCATTCGGATCAAGCAACTTATCTTGTTGCAATGCTCTTAATGTGTTCCTCTCGAGGCTATCTTCGAGATGCCTGACTACTCTGAGGCGGTGTTTTAGTCCTAAATGTTCTATACACTCACTGGTCACGCTACCGCCGTACGTCCTGTACGCTTGGTACACCAAATCTTGAATCCTTATCGTCTGGGAATTGCCAAATAACTACTAAGTAATTTAGTTTCGTATACGATATTTTTATATTAGTATTAATAAAGACTTCCAAATCAACGGTACTATAGCATGTGACTGGGACAGAACAGAATGAAAAAAAAAAGCAATTTTACATGGCCATACAATAATATGTATAACTTTGAGAAACCTATTTTCAGGACCGAATGCATTACCGTTTCTATATGTCATCTACCAAATTGGTTACTTGAAAGTTGTATCAATAAATTATGAAATATGCAGTATTTTTTGCTGTAAAATAAATTGTAAGAATATTTAATTTTTTTTAATAAACCTGCTATTTATAATCTGTGGATTACAAGAACCGAAACGCGGACGGCCATGACGGAATATCGTGTGACGTCACATTTTAATAAATAAAATGGCAAAGACGTCGTTTGCGAATGATAATTCTTAGATCAAAAGAGATTTCCAAGTAATTTAAATTTGTACTAGAATTGATCTCACAAATAGGGTAAAGATTTGTAGAGATAATTTATAAAAAGTCACAACCAGTACTATTGTTTATTGAAGTGTGATTTCAAGGCTCAGATTGTCACGTTACTGATATTGATTTCGCAGGCATTTTAATATTAATCGATAAAAATATGCGTTTCACTTATTTAATGAAACTTTTATGGGTAAAGATAATTTGATAATGATTTAATATGATATGATAATTATGAAATGAAAGTTAAAAATCTTTTACCGAAACAGTCGAGCAGGTAATTCAATCATGTTCATTAACAAATCAGGATTACTTTTTTATTTTTTTAAAATATCAACTAAGTTTTCAACGTTAATTATTTTTACAGTGATACAATATGATTGTTTTATGTGAATAAAGAAAACAAATCACCCTATCCGCCGTCCTGGGTTCTGTGGATAAAGCTACCGCTTCGTCATTGTATATTCCTTCCAAGTAATCGTTGAGGATTTGCATAGCTTGACCGTCTTCCGTGCACTTGAGTAGTTTATCGCGGTTTATATCTAAGATCGTGAGGGTTACCTGAAATGAGAAATAATAATATAGCAATAGTTTCTTTTTATTATATTGTTAACTGGAATTGTTTATTGGAATTGTCTAAGGTCAATGTTAGATACAAATATATTTGAAAGCTGTTGTGAAATATTAAACGAAAGAGTTTAATATCAACTGCAATCTTTCGCATGTTAAACTAAAAAAAAAAAATATGTTTGGGTAAATCTTTATTATGTTTCTTGTTTATTCAAATCATAAGTTTTTGAAAAAATGTGATTACTACTTTAAAGTTATATAATTTCATAAATCGCTATAACTTTGAAAGGAATTGGGATAGATTTTGATATTAGACAGTCAGCTCACCTCACGGGAATTATGTTAATGTGTATTAACCACCAAAATGCCCCCAGAACCAATGACGTACTTTCTCGTAAGCACGGAAGAATATAGCGGGTATAATAAATGTTTGGTCACCTTCTGTTTAACTCACCTGGAATATAACCTTGGCGCCGTCGTAGAAGAAGCAGTCCATAACATTGACGGCACATTCGTAAGGCATTACACTGATGAACAAAGTAAGGAACCAAGACAATGATATCATTTTCATAACTCCAAGCTCGTCAAGCTTCGCGTGAAGCTCCGGCAAATGTGCCTTAGTCAATTCTTCTAATACGCCTTGGTCCACCTGTAAGAGTTTTAACGGGATGTTATAGAATTTTTAATATAATACCTAGCATAAATAAGCTACGATGTGGCAAACAGACTCAGACATTATAATAATAACTTGTATGCCTGCGCATTTACATACATATAACGATAGCTTTTTAATTCTATCAAAGCATTGTGTGATTAAACAGATCAGAAAATAACAACATTCATAAAATTGTTCAATAGGGTTGTAGAGGACTTAAGTATTTTACTTTAAGGTTTTTTAAGTATTTTTATTTTAATCTAAACATAAATTTAATTTTCAAAATTTCCCGCGAAAATGCCATCTTCTGTTATGGCGTCGTTATGACGTCACGCCCCTATAATACCAATATGATTCTATGCATGCATAAGGTTTAAAGTTCTAAGTTCTAATATGAGTAGAGGTGTGACGTCACTCTCTCTTTGCAGTCACGTGACAATGAGTATAAAATATTTGTTTTTTCATAATTAATTTAAACAATATTGTAACTATAATAAGCATAAAAGTGTGATTATAGGTAATAGTATATTAAACACTACGAGAAGAAAAGAATTTATTTTCGTTTACTGTCTACACCCGAATTATATTTTCCAATATGAAACCGAATTCACAAAAAAATACAAATATTAAGTAAGTTCTTCACAGAATCTACTGATATTTTTTTACAATTTCGCCTATTTTTGGAATTGGCACAAACAAGAATAGGCAATATTGATAATATCTTCTATACTTATAATAAATATGTAGAGAGGTCAATTCTGTCCATGAAATATATTTCCAAAATAACTATCAGGAAGTGATTAGGGATCGATACTGATGCCAAAAATACAATCAGTAAAATTTTTGTCTGTCTGTATAACCGCTATAGAAACAAAAACTACTCGACGGATTTTAACGACACTTGGTACAATTATTTTTCATACTCCTGAGCTGGTTATAACTTTTCATCACGCTACAATCAATAGGAGCAGAGCAGTGAAGGGAAATGTTGGGAAAACGGGAAAAGTTACTCCATTTTTTAAGCTTCCTTCGCATGTGCAACCTTAATGGTTAAAGCTACCCAGAAATCATGTATGACGGAAATGATCTCCTTAAAATCATATAAAAAATATATAAAGTCTATTGTCTACTCTTACGTTTATAACACTCTCAGTCATCCCTAATTAAAAAAGTTAACAGTATTAAGTATTCCATAAAAAAGAATCATAGAAATCGGTACAGAAACGCCAAAGTTATACATGAAATACGCTAATAATAAGCCATCGCGCATGAATACTGAGTCTTGCTAGAAGGATTGTTCTGGTCAGTATTTCATGTATACTAATATTATAAAGCTGAAGAGTTTGTTTGGTTGAACGCGCTAATCTCAGGAACTACTGGTACGAATTGAAAAATTATTTTTGTGTTGAATAGACCATTTATTGAGGAAGGCTTTAGGCTATATAACATCACGCTACAACTATTGGGAGCGAAGAAAAAATGGAAAACGCGGACGAAGTCGCTGGCGGCCACTAGTACTCAAAATAAATGTCTTATTATATACTTGAACTTTTAGTACATCAAAAAATGAATTTTCTTAAAAATTTGACTTACCAAAGCACCGACCACCCTAGTGTTATAATAGTCGGGTAGTAATGTCTCGCAAATAGTTGCCAGCAACCAGAAGGCCTGCTCTTCTGGACAATAGATAAGCAACACCGAAGCTACTATATTCATCGCTTGGCAATAACCAATGGCTGGATTTTTTAAAGCGTATGCACATAACACGCGGCGTAACGCAGATATGCCTACAATTAATAAATAAACACATGAAATAAGTTAAAATCGATTTCGAAAGGGAGTGTGTGTGAGTACTGAATTAAATATGTGGCATAGGAAGTTTTATACAGACTTCGAATGATATTAGTATGGATATAACTCCCACGACACGATGTTTTAAAAGTATTTATAACTTTAGCAAACATCATTTTAGTATATAAATTTTGTTCAATACTCATAAGAAAATAAACAAAACTATTTCTATTGTTTAAAACATCTATAACTTGAAAAGGTGTATCAGAACAAATAATAATTAATTAGCGTGCGGTTACATTTTAAAACGTTCACACATAAAACCGTCACAATATAAAACCGTCTCTGAAAACATAAAAATATTGGTAAACTCGCAAAGCAATTAGACAGCAAGTCTTGTGCATACGCAATATTCATTCTTTCCATGATTTACGAAATAAGATAGAAGATAACGTTTCTCTTTATAATGCTATTCAAAATCAAAGTCAAATCTTAGGACACAAACGATCATTTAGAATATGATAAATATTTAATTATTTTTTTTACTTTTTATTGCACATATTTGTTAAGTGTAAGCGACAGAAAAGGTAATTATTTTTTTAAGAGGTACTTAAAAATTAACGTTGTATATTAACAGTTTATATTTAATTCTCGAATTCAGGGTATATCCACACTACGATAACAAATCTTAAGTTACAAATGTAACTCCTACTTTGATCATCAGCAATGAATAAATCTTACCAACATCATTCTGGAAAGCTGGATGTTCCGGAAGTGACCTGTGCAAATCCCTCTCGATTTCGTCGTTGACTGGGTTTTTGGAAGACAGTGCTTCATTGACCAACTTCTCGTAGAGTCCTTTGTTCTGTGCCTTCTGTAAAATGGAGCCAGAGAACACGCTCCATAGTTCACCTCGTAAGGACTCTGGTATGCCATTCACCACCAGTTCGCTGCCAGCTGTAGTTTGGTACATACTGACACCGCGACCAACTTCTGACATGTGATCTTCCCATTGTTTTACCTATTTTGAGAAAGTCATAATTTAAAAATACATATCTGATTACCTAAGTACATTCAACAGCATGTCAGGATTCAAAAACAGTCAAATTCTTCACTTTCTTTTAAATTTTAATGCATTGAAAGTAGAGTTGAAAATCAACTGGAGAAATTTGAAATAATGTAGTAGCCTGGCGTGCAATCGTGTGTACTTTAATTTCTTTACGTTAATCTATCTATATATTGTAATATTATAAAAAGGAAAGATTTGATTATATGTTTCTTTGCATCGAATAGATCCCTAAATTACTGGACCGATTTTACAAATTCTTTAACTTACGGGAAGCTACATTATACACGATTGACATGAGCTAATTATTACTAATTTACGCGGGCGAAGTCGCGGGGAAACAGCTAGTATAAATAAAATATTAATAAAAAATCATTGAAATTTTGAAATGACTACTTGGTCTTAATGAAAAATGCCTAAAAATCTTTGGCAGGCAAAACCCAGGCACTTGTTACTTTTTCGCTACTACAGAGCGTATTTTCATCAATGTTCAGGCAATCCACCCAAAACCAAAGTAACGAGTGCTTGAAAAACTCGTCAGTCCTGTTATGTCCTGGGTAGCTCAGTGGTTAGAGCAGCCGCCCGGATTGCAATAGGTCATGGGTTCGAGTCCCATCACAGAGTGCCAGGGACAAAGTGGATTTTAAAAGCATATTTCATTACGAATATTTTTCAGTATAACATTGTGAATGCAACAGCGATAAAATATAATAATGACTATTTAGTATTAAATATATTTTTAAAATAATATTACCAGTTAATAACATTATTGTTGAGTAATGAATGATAAAAATTTAACTTTAATGGTAGAGATGCGCCGAATAGTGGTTTCACCGAATAACCGAATACCGAATGGTATTCGGTTTTTACTTTTACCGAACAGATATTCAGCCGAATTATTCGGTTTACCACTATGTTATTTTTATTTGACAAGAGTGTATCTAAGTGCTGTTTATGATATACCGAACAATGATTTCGGAAGCCTATATGGAGAATAAAATTTTAAATAATACTTATCTCAAAAATGACTCATTCAAGAAACTGTAATGCGGAGGTTTACTGTAGGTTACTATTTAAATGATAGGCGTCCTAGGCGATAATTAATATATATATATATATATTTGCTTATCTTTTATTTTATTTGTGATCCCTATTATATTTTAATACTGACTAGTTTATAAAATAAATATTTATGTTTTAAAACTAGATTGTTTTATTTTATTAAACACAGTCTTCGTGAGGTTTCTTTGACTTACATTGTAAAATGAATTTTCCATAAAAAAATACGTCATTTAGTTCTATACCATGTCGTGTAGCCAAGGAAATAGAAATACTAAAACCGAATATATTCGGCCCCACAATCGAATAATTTGTCCGAATACGAATAGTGAAAAGATGCCGAATAATTAACCACTATTTAGCGCATCTCTAGTAAAAATATTCTCAGAAATTAGATTTGGATCAATATTCTTAACTTGAAAAAAAACGTCGAACATAGAACTTAATAATTAATTACCTTTTTTAGTTGTATTTGACGGATAGGCGATGTCTGGTTAGTTTTGAAGAGCGTCATCAATGGTGGCTGAGACGTCCATCCCTTCTCACCATCTTCCTTCCGCGCTACAGCCAGCGTTGCCTTTTCCCTGTAGATATAACTGTAGATTCAAGTAATTGAGAATGTGCTACAAAAAATTAACCTTAAATATATCAAACCCAGAGATCATCAGTTGTTAGTAACAGCGTCCCAAGGTTGCGAAGGCCTGAAGAAGCTGCATTCGTGCAAGAAACTGTTTAGGTACCTAACACAAACGTAAATGAAGAATAATACTTAAATAATATAATAAATATAATCGTTTTATTAAATATAATAAATAATCCCAAATAATTAAAATTGAGTAAAATTGAGTGAGAGATTATCTAATAATACTATGATACGAGTTTACATCTTGAAAATATAGTATTTTTCTTTACATATTTTTATTCTCAAAACAAGATTTTTTATTAATGATGGTAATCCAAGAATTACAAATATGTCAGGTGAATATGGTTAGAGAAATGAGATGTATTAGAAGTAACATTCTACACATCAATTCTGTTTACAGCAATTCTATTTTACTCCCAAGATTCTTTAGAAACTCCATGCAGATGAAATCTAAATCTAAAGCCATTAAGGGTTGGTGCATATCTAACGGAAGATCCATCGCGTAACGTGTGCGTTAAGCTAGCAGACAAACTAATAAATTTGAGGTTCTTATGTATGTCACAAGGCTACGAGTAAAAAGTGACAAACATTGATACATAGCACTTATTATTACGTGTCACTAACACTATAAATTAAAATATATTAGTATATCTTACTGCTTGCTGTTGCTTTTAAGCGTCAGCCTAGCAGCTCCACCGATGATCTAGAATATCTCGAATTGTACTAATTAATATTAATTTAAGTTCGGAGTATAGAAATCACTATTTAGTCACATTTTGTTGACATATAATTGGAACTAATACGAATCGTATTTCTTGTGTTCCTACCAGTTAGAAGTCTAGCTAGCAGGCACACTAATATAATTATATCTTCAAATTTATAGTGTCACTATTTGTGTGCTAAGTATTACTATTTGTCTCTATTTACTCATAGTTTTGTGACATACGCTTATGTAAACGATCCTTCTAACAAATATATAATTCATTCAAGCTTGCGCACTCAACAAATGTTCTGTCACTCAGTCGAACGTACTGCCGTCGAATACGGATCTTTCGTCACATTTGCACCGACCTTAAACTTACAAGTAAATTAGCAAATATTTACAAAAGGAAAATTGCTACTTAATACCCTCAACAACAATTGAGATGTTACTATGTTTATATGGAAATAGCTGAAGAATTTGAAATTGATTCTATAGTCAAAGGCGTGCACGAAGTATTTATTAAGATACAAGTTTACAGTAAGATACAAGTGATATCGCTAACTAAAGTACCTGCGTTGAAGGCTAAATTACAAAGCGCGGCAAATGTCAGCCAATCAGAATTATTCAAGAATCAATATACACGTTTCTGACACTCGCACAGGGTGAGTGAGAGTTGTATTTAACACCTTGTGTTTATTGAAACAAGACATATAAGAAGACGTCGTCAAAATCGGTAGAAGATTCACTATGAGCCATTACTTGGAACTTACTGTTTCTTCAATTATCATTTAATGCAATATTATTTGAAGCAAAAATAAAACTAAAACTGAGTTAATAGCTATACAAATTTGATTATACGTGTCAAGTAACAACTATTAGTTTGACTTTAACATAAACTTACTTAGGTAACTTAGCTAATAGCTCGGATATCTTGTGGACTAGGAACTCCCTATCGGATATGTTTCCGAATAGGAAGCTTGTGTGATACGAGGTGGTGACAAGGATGCTGCCTGAGTCGCCAGAGCTGCCGGTACCTCCCGAGTCGGCACGTTCTACTTGGTGTACATCCCGTAAAGGTATTGTCAGACGAACCAGATTTCTCACCTACAAAAATAGATATAGGACCTATTTTTATGCTTTTAAATAATTCATTAGATCATCCGAATGATCCAATGATGTATATAGTTACATTCTCTATTTTTCAAGTCAAGAGAAGCTTTCCATGTTTTTAGATAAAATATTCAATACATAAAGATATAAAAACATAATCTGAGATATTCTAGTAGAAACCAAAAAATAATCTATTGTTATGCAATTTATCGAGAATAACAAATTTTATTAGATGTAAAGTCAACAACACGTCAGACTGTACAAAACTGACGAATTTCCCTTCTCGTTATATTTTATTAAAAAAAATATTTTCACAGAGTACTAAGCACACAATAATTACTAAAATTTAAACAACCAAAGTGCTGAATGACCTTAAAACCTCGCATGTAGGAGTCATATATATATTAACATATACCTACGTTTGAAGTCATTAAAATAAAGAGCCCTCTTCCAAATACTGATAACAAAACAAAGAAGTGAATATGATGTTCTTGGCTATAAACCATAGAGTAATTAAGAAAGTACCGTTTCATTGAACTGTTGAATATATAAAATTTTCATTAACATTATCTAAACAAATACTTTTTATGTATAGAATGCATAAGACATCCAAGTAACAAATGTCACAAAATAACTTTATCTATGAATTCATAATACATTAGCTGTTTTCCCTAAATTTCACCTGCGTCTGGCGTTAATAATAGCTTCACCCGCGCATGATATAGTCCCTAAATAAACGATTTTTTATAAAGGTCCAATAGCTTCGAAGACTATTAATTCAAATAATCAAATCTTTCTTCTTTATTATATTAGTATGATGACATTCGTCGTTTTTTACACATAAAAATTGTTGATATAGGTAGTAACAATTGAAAATGTTTACTCAATCAATTTCCAGTCTTTATTTGTTCTAATATTAGTTACACATCAAGATAACGTACATATAATTGGTTAGCTTGTACATCGATATGAGTAGGTATGTAATAAAGCAGGGACAAACAATGGCTGTTTGATCGTGACTCAGATGTGTCATTTAAAATGATAAACAGGTATTCATTTACACATTTCTGTATTTCGTGAACAATTCACATAGATCCCAATATTCCATATGAACGAAACCGTTTCAGGCATTAAAGAGTACCTACATATTTTATATATTTAGAGTTTACATACTAATTATAGAAAAATACTTGAAGATTATATTCATAATTTAAAAAATATTATTTAAAAGGCCGAAAATGTTGGCAACCCTGGATACAACTGAATATTTGAGAGTTTTCCTCATCAATGACTATAAATATTATATTAACTATAAGATTTTAATTTTGTGGTTGACATCATGAAAATTAAAAAAAAAAGTTAACAAATGAGAATTCCCATTAATTTAATTCCCAATTTTTTTTTTTATTGCTATTGTTATATCCAGCAATAGTCTGCGATCTAAAGATATGTAACCAAATAATAGCTGTTGTCTAGTGACTTTGTGAAAAATAATAAAATTGGAGGTCTATTCAATGCAAAATAAATCAAATCTTTCTACTTCATAGTAATATAGAAAAATATGTAAACATAACTTACCCGACTATCAAAACAAATAAAGTTCTGCGACAAATACAATCTACCCCAATTATGTCTTTTATTGTATGGTGTCCATAGAGTACATTCTTCTGTGCCATCGAGTTTCTCATTTTGTGGCAATCTAAATCTTAATGTGTATAGATTAGACTGCTTTTTAGCATCAAGGTCTCTTTTTAAAAATGACGGCTTCTTCGGTACATTCTTACTGAGTTTTGTAAGTAATTCTTTGTCAATATTGAAGGAACCTGACTTATCGTCTATTAATCTAGAAAATAACAAGGAAGATAAAAATGCTTGAATTATACATTAGAGGCCGTCCATTAATCACGTGATATTTTTTTTGGCATTTTTTAACCTCCCCTCCCCCATAGTGATACATGGTGAGGTAATAAATTTGTTACAAAGGTGGGCTTATCTCTAGAAGAGATCTCTTCCAGCCAACCTAGGAGTCGTGGGAGAGTAAGATGTAAGCGGGTGATAAAAGTGCAGTTAAATGATATTACGGTTGGAAAAAAAAAATATATATATATATATAATAAATAGCAAACAAATAATAGATATATACAATACATATAATATATACTACATATATACATATATAAGATACGATGAGAGCAGTGTCATGAATACGAACATTGTTCTAGAAGATAGTGTTTAAGTGTTAGGCGCCTACCACACGTGCATGCTTGACCACAGTTTTACTTGCGCATGCCGACTTTGGGGTTTGCGCATGCTACCATTTTACCAACTACACGCACAGTGTTCAGTGTACAAGCCGGCATGCGCAAGTAAAACTGTGGTCAAGCATGCACGTGTAGTAGGCACATTAATTTGAAACACATGATGGAAGGACAATCCTGAATATTCACAGGAAGTCTGTTCCATAGTTGAACACCACTTACAGAAAAGGATTTGAGGAGGAAGTTGGTGTTACATTTAGGCAGCTCAAGAGATTTGGTGACGCAGGGATGCCTGGGATAGTAAGGAGATAGTAAAATCTATGTTCCATTGATTTTTCCAGACTATGAGAAGCTCTGTAGGTATTATGAACACTTTTTATTATTTCTCAAAAGTACAGATTATTTACATACATACCCTTCAACAATGTCACCATGTTTACATAATAGGCAATTGAATGATGCCCTAACAATATTAATTATACACAAAAACATATCAAATGAGATTATATCAACAAAAAAATTATCAGTAACAGTATACACAACCACATTGATACAAAAGTACTATTTAATATTACATATTTGTAAAGAGTGGTCTGATAAAAATAATATTATTAAGGATAAAGAATTACTTAATTATGTAAACTCTCTTTTAGGTCTATATAATAGAGTTTAATATTAAAGGTGATATTGATATTGTAAATCATTATAAACATAATTGCATGGCTTGAATTTAAACTGATAAAACTTTTAGAATGTTATTTAAAATTAAAAGTCAATAATTTTGTAAAATGATAGCATGTTCAATAATGTAATATTGTTGTATATTACTCTATCCAATTACTTTCAAGTGATGATATAAAAAACTAACTAAATAAGGAACCAGGTGATATAGTATAAAACTGAGAATTGTCCTACTGATCTGCATTTCTTTTTTTTAATATCTATATGTACCTACATCTTTACACTATATCCTTTGCAGACTAGGCAGAGAGGATGGAGCAAGTGAATATAATGATTGTAATGAAATCATTTATATGTTCTTATTTATCATACTTACTGTTTCATAGCAATGTTGGCCAACTGTTGCATCAGAGCATAAGTTTCATTCTTTTTTAAAAACATTGTAAAGTAATGTACATCATCTCTGGTGACAATTTTTATTGAATCCGGGAACAGAAGACTGTTTGTTTTTGCCAATTCTGTGACATCAGCCCAACGTATCTTAACAGTTGTTTTACGTCCAAATATATATGAATAGAAGCACATGTAATGTACCGATAAATACATCCATCCTTGTCGTGGCATTTTTCCTTTCCAGTAACTGACAAAATATATTAAAATAAATAATATTCATCAATAATAAAATAGATTCTTAATAAACAAATAAACATACCTGCATGAATAATAACAAACTAATTTTTCATCCTTTGGCATGCCAAATCTTTGATGGAAATCATTATCAACATTTTTATAAGTAATAGTATCTTCATCTGAAAGATAAAGTTACAAAGCACAAACTGAGCTAAATATAATTCTAATCCTTTAACGCTGAGAACAACTAAGGTAACAGAAGAAAGATTATTACAATATATAATATAGTATACATATATACATAGTTTTAAAAAAAAAGGATTTTCTAAACAAAATAAAAACTAGATGTAAAGGTTAGAGCTTTCTTAGTTTCAAAACATTAAGACCAATAGTTGCAACTTGAGATAATAATCACAAAAAATAGTATACTGGCAGGATGGTGAGAACTGAAAAATTTAATAAGTACTAATAAGATACTGTGGAAAATAAACTAATGAGAAAACTCACCTTCTGTAAAATTATCTTGCTCTGTAGCAATGATAGAGTTAATTTTGCAACATACAAAATCTGTGACTTCATCCTCTTTGTCAAATGAATGTAAAGTTGGACAAACATTCTCAAACAGCCATTGCCAGTCCTGCCTTATTTCTGGCTCTGTCAAAGCTGTTGCTATCACTGTTGAAAACAAATAATCCTTGTTTTTAAGTTATGTTTCTTTATGTAATAAAATAAACAAGTTTAATCATGTAATGTATATGGATAAAAAAAATATAAATACCATAATACACCTCGGAGTTAGGAGTTTGATGTAGAATTCTAAATGGTGCAGGTTTTGTATCCCTAACACTGTCTAGGGTACCCACTAATAATGAAGATAAACCTCTAGATTTTCCATGCCCTTTGCGCCGTTGTAAAACAAAATAAAGACTTGTCTCATCACAATCCCTGTCGATAAGGTGTCTTGTTTAGCAAATAATATGAGAAATAAACAACATAAAGTTATGCAGTGAATAATACCAAAGTGCTGTCTTCAAAAAAACTTCTTGTGGTTTTACCCACATTGTATGTACTTCAAAGTTTGTTACTCTTATTTAATATATCTCAACACTTAAATATAACGTTATATTCAATATAAATAAGATTTTAAATACAAAAAATCATATTTTTTTTTTAGTTGGTAGATTAAAATCACAAATCAAAATAAAAATTTATGGATAATAATATGACAGATGACAGACCTATGTGACTGACAGTATAATTTTTATTTGGTAAATTTTCCGTAAAGGAAAGGCGAAGAAAGCCTAGCTCATACAGCCAAAACACCTGACAGTGACAATACAGTAATAGTAGTAGTTTGTTTAATCATTGAGCCAGGCGATGGAACTTAGCCATATTGCCAAATCTTGAGCATATAAACTAGATTCTAAAATCGATAGTATTTGAGAACATTAGAAACATATTATAAATTGCGTATAATAGAGCAATAACACATATTCCACTTTAAACTTAAACGAAATAATGTAAATTTTTTTCAGATAATATAAAATAAAATAAAATATTTTTTGACATTTTATCTGAGACGAACACGCGTTGTAAGTATTTGTAAGAGATTATTGCCATCTTTTATTCAGTTCATTTTCATTTTGCATCATCGTCATCACCAGCCTTTTATGTCCCCACAGCAGGGGCTTTCTTATGGGTGGATTCCTCAGGATTCCTTATGGGTGGTTTTGTTTTGTTTTTTTTTTTTAAATCAGGTTTTTCCACTCATTAGCAGGCCAACATTTTTTTTTTTTGCTTTTTTTCTTTTTTTGTATATGGGTATTTTGACTACCCATTTGGGAATGTTCTTTTTCCCTTTGCCTTTTTTCAAGGTCTTATTTTTACATTTTTTCTTATTTTCTAATACATCTTTCCTATTTCTATTTACATTTTCCCTTATGGATGGTTAAGGATGGGCCATGACCCTGCACGCTGGCCCAATGCGGATTGGAGGGTATTAACAACTGCAAATGCAGCCGGGACCAACGGCTTAACGTGTCTTCCGAAGCACGGAGTAGCTCGAGATAATAGTTTTTTGGTCACCCATCCCGTGACCGACCCTTACGAAAGTTGCTTAACACGGCGCTTATCCTCTACGCCTAATGCTAGGGTGGACAAAGGCGGTGTTATCGCTAAAAGCCATCTCTTCAAAAATATTCCAAAAACAAAATTAAATTAAATTCGTTACGAAATAAAAAAGATATTTTAACAAAAAGTTTAACAATATTATTGTGTACGATAATAGAAGCAGTAGTTAAAAAGCTCAACTATATGAAAAGTCTCACTTAATTAAAATGTTATTGTCTCCCTATTAGAAAGGGACAAAGAGTCTATATTCTTGATATCTCGATCGGCTTGCTTTTCAGCTGGGAGTACTCTGTCCTGTCATGTGCCGCATTTTTATATTGTAATATATTTATTTATTGTGATTGGTGAATATTGTAAAATGTATAATGTCTATTTGTTTGTGCACCGGAATAAATACATTTTTCTTTCTTTTCAATTCATACTAGTTTAGACTATCAATATCTCCCGATCTTTTTATTCTATTGTAAGATAAACTGAATAAACTAAAGTGAGAATAATATTCAAATCCACTTTATTAATTTAGACAATTCTTGGTAATGGTTTCGATATTCCGTAACACTCAACCCGAATTCGAATTCACTCAGATGTCCGAATTCGAAAGTGACACTGTTTAACCTTAAATTGGTATTAACGTTTCGTGGCATAAGTGAAGTGAGTTTCAAAATGAAATAGGGATAGTTGTATCTGAGACACATATAATCAATCAATCTTGTTTTTTATTTATAAAAATAAACCTATTGTATAACCAAAAAATGGAATCAATAGAATTACTAATCGATATCGTATTTCTACGCAATCGCACCGCTGGAATCAAAACAGTGCATAAGTAGTTTTATCATAAATTGTTAATGATGTTCCTTTTCAGCTGCTTTTCTTTGAGTTTCAGCCCAGCTTCTTTTATTTGATTCACTGTTAGCCATTTTATTAAATTTTATGAAAAAATAAAAAGCAACTGCAATTCCGCAAGGATAATACATCCATATATTATTATTTGTAGTATAATGAAGAAAAGGAAACTGGGCGATTTTGGCTGAAAGTGTGTATGGAAACTTCATGTGACGGCCGGATTTCCTGGAACAAATTACTTATCTTTATGAGAAATAAAGGTAAAGAGAGTTGATAAATATCCTATTATATCTAAATACGAATAAATACCTATTTGTTATTCAAGTAATATCACATAAAAATAAATAAATGAATATCGGTTAGTTTTAAACAACATTTTCACACCTTAACCCGAATCTCAGAGACCGCAATGATTTTTCAAATCAAAATATATCCATGCGTAAGTGACGTGCGCCAAAGCGTAGTCATGTATTTTTTCTACACTCCAATAATTATTGTGAACAGCACGTATGTATCATTTGGATAAGTAAAATATAATTTTGTGTTTATTTATTTATATTGATTTAGTGTCAAAATGAACAAAAAAGGCTAAAATATCGAAAGACGGCTCCAGCAAGAGAACTCGAGTCAAAAAGATATTTCTGGTGAGGGTAGCAGCGACAACAAACCAGGTTATTTGGAGCACTACATAAAAATATGTTGTTTCTGCCCCGAAAAATGTGGTTATTTGGAGCACTACATAAAAATATGTTGTTTCTGCCCCGAAAAATGTGGAAGGGCATTGCAATTTTATTTAGTTTTTGTTTGATTTGACTTTATTTTTAACCAAAGTATACATTAAGTTCATTTTGAATATGAACATCTCTTCGTATTATAAAGGTCTCTTTATTTTTACATTTTCATAAGACTTGTAATTACTGTTGCAATTTTGTGGTTCTCAAATAAAGCAATAGAGTATTAAATGCATTTTTATTCAACAAACTTCAATTTTTAATCATAGATCCCAAAAAACACAATAAACTATTAGCAGTCTCTGAGATCACACGTAGGTGGTTAAAGGACAAAAATAGATGTTTTGGCATGGCTGTATCAAGAGGGGAGGGGACTGGGTAGGTCCGTTGCACCTTCCTGAAATTTCTATACCTACCTACTATCAGTTGGTTAAAGAATTAAGGCTCTGATTTGTCCCTCCATCTTGAACCCCTCCTGACCTAGAATCTGGGTACGCCCATGTGTTTTGGTTAAGGTAGCCAAACTATGTATATAGCTCAATAATAATAAATTTAAACAACAAACCCAGCAAGAGCACCACATTGTTTTAAGGCTCTATCTACTTGAGTATAAAATGCGATTAGCACTTTGGGATGCATTTTTTGTTTTAATAAGTAGACGATGCAATTTAATTTAGTTTACTTGAATTTCTGTCAATTTAAGTTTTTAACTGACATTGATTGACGTTAACATGACGTTGATTTTAATTTTAAAAATCTTTCTATTCTCTTAAGTAGTTTGTGGTTCTCATTTTCTCCTTGGTTACTTACACAATACCTTTGGATCATATTACGTTTTTTATTTTTATGAAGCGGTAAACTTATCCCATGGATGGACAGCATAGAATAATAACTGAAGCAAAGACATGTATTCGTCATGTTATTTCTCTTACGAACCGTGATAATGCGTTAGAAAAAGATGTATAATATTAGTCATTTCTCAATGAGGAAGTATTTAAAAATAAAAAAAGGCACCGGAAAAGTACCTCCACTAGATGGCGACTCTAACAAAAGTTGATTTTTGCAGCAAATGAATGGACCAAAGATAGTCATTTCCGTTCCTTTTAACTAACATATTAAGTATTGAAATTTATAAAGTTCAAAACTTAGATATCAATACAAATGCGAAAAAGTACAAATAGAATATGAGTTGTTTATTGAGATTTGAAAACTTTTTTTATTTTATAAATGAAAGAAAACCGGAAGGGCTGTCATGGAGAAATCAATTATGTACAGTCAAGATGTCACATCTTGTTTGATTTTGGGAACTACTTTTTTTTAATTCCTTATTACAAAGTATTTTATTTCGTTTTTATAAATTCAGAAATCATTGACCGATTAAAAACAGCTAACTAATGGTTGAAAACACTCATTTATTTACAAAATCTTTGCAATTTAATAACTTCGAAACTATTTTACCTAGACATACCATTTTTTACTTAGTATTATGAAGAAGTATTTAAAAAATAAAAATTAGTTCTTAAAATCATATAAGATGTCACTCGCGATGTTTGGATTTTGTTTATGATATTCATTCAATTTTTGTTTCTGTAATGTATGTAATACTCTTTATTGTACACACCATAAGTTAATGGACAAATATACAGTAATCAAACAAAGTAGTACAATTGGCGGCCTTATTGCTAAAAAGCAATTTCTTCCAGGCAACCTTAACATAGCATACAGGATACAGTTGGAAAAATTGGGTAGTCTATGGTGCATTAAGAAGTCTACAGGTAACAAAACATTAAGCAGGAAAATTGTTTATAATACATAAACATACATAGTTACATATATATACATTGATACATAAATACATACATATACACTTACTTAAGAATACATAGTACAAATACACTTACTTAAATCATAATCCTATGACTGCTGCAATGAATTTAGTGATAAATAGTGCTCCTTAACTAATATTTTAAAATTGTTAATAGTTTGTGCACGCCTAATATCCTCCGGCAATGCATTCCAGAGGCGAGCAGCTTTTACTGTGAAAGACTTGTTCAGAAATTTACTTGAATGCATTGGTATTGCCAATCTCAGATTTTCCGACGACCTTAAAACTCGTGCGTGCGTATCGTGAAGGAACGTGAAGCGTTCCTTGAGGTAAGCTGGTGAAAAAGGATTGAATAGAATACTGTAGACGAGAGAAACAATATGCGCATTCCGGCGAAGACGAATTGGTAGCCACTTGAGCTTAGTACGGAAATCGGAAACATGATCATATTTGCGTAATCCAAAAATGAATCTGATACAGAAATTTTGAAGCCGCTCAAGTTTATTTAATTGCTCTTCAGTGAGGTCAA